GTCCTTAGCAAAACAATGGCTAGAAAGTAAATTAGAGAAAGAGAGAGGAGTTTCACCTCCCCAGGTAGGCAAGGCATCCAAAGTTAGGAAACATGGCCTGGCCGTAGCTCAGTGAGCACATGGTCTGGCCAATGCTTAACAAAACAATGGCTTGGTTCTTTTTATGTATCTGTCTCTTTGGTGAATCTCTTATTCATATTCTGAATTGCTTTTCTGGTTTTTTGGTATTGCTTATCTGTGTTCTCTTATACCTCAGTAAACATGTTTGTTATCGTTATTCAAAATATTGTTTTGAATTATCTTTCTGGCATGTCATAAATTTTTTATTAAAATCTGCTGCTGGAAAATTATTGCATTCTTTGGAGATATCGTGTTTTCTTGCCTTTTCATGTTTGTTGTGTCCTTCCAAGTTGATATCTGCACATCTGGTATAACAGTCACTACTTCCAGTTGTTTTGGGTTGGCTTTTATAGGGAAGACATTTTCCTGAAGACGCATCTGCGGTGTTGGTAAGGTAGAGGGCGCTGTGGCTTGGGTTCTGGGAATGCAATAGTTTCTGTGTGATTTCTTTGGCGGTAAACAGCGTCAGTGGTGTCAATGGTTTCCTCAGTGGCTTATGATCCATTTGTTAGTGGAGGCTGAGGTGAGGTTCTCCTGGACACTGGGGTGCCAAGTCTACCAGTTCTCAGTCCCCAGTGGTGGCAGCACCTGTCCTTGGGCCCCTGCATGTCAGATGTGGGCACTGGTGTCAGTGAGTCCAAGTGGGGCGATTTTCAGGCTTCTCAGCAGCTTGCTTGAGTGCAGCTGTTGCAGGGGTGGGCCATGTGGGTAGGCAGGTAGAGGGGTGGGTTGCTCCTCAGGCTCCTGGGCAGTTGATGTTGTTGGACGATAGCAGTAGTTGTGGATGGCAGCAGGCTGGTTGGGCCCACTCTCGGGCCTCCGGGAGTAGTGCACAGATGCTGGCAGTGGTAGGCAGGGCAGGGCAGTTCCTTTGCCCCCAGGGATTGAGGTGCCAGGCTGGACGGGCATGTCTTCGGGCCCCTTGGTGGTATACACAGGCACATTCTGATCCCAGGTCCCCAGCGGAGCACGTGGGTGGCAGTGGTGGCAGTGGATGAGGGGCAGGTGCAGATGCCGGCCCTGTTACTGGAGTGGGGGGGGCTGCTCTCAGTGGCAGCAGCCTCAGACCAGAGGCCAGTGAGTGTGCACTTGAGTCAATGGCAACGGGAGCAGCAGCAGGGACCAGCTGGGAGAGCCTGTCACATGCAAGTGTGCTGTGGCCCTGCTGCTTGTCTGGGCGGGTCTGTGTTGCTGCCATTAGCCCTGGGCTGGCTAGGTTCAGGTTCTGGCTAACCGGTGCCTCCGCTCCCTTTGTCCCCAGGACAGCCTCCCTGGCGCATTGTCCATTTCCCACAATGTAGGACACTGTGTGTGCTTTGGTGTGGAGGACTCTACTGGGTCCAGCCGGCATTGCATCACTGCCCCCACTAGGTGGACACAGGGCTTGTTGGTGGGGCTTGAGGGATGTGGAAATGATGGGGCCGTTGGCCCCGGGGAAGGATGCAGTCTGGTGATGGACTGAAGGCCCAAACGGGCACCATGCTGCCACCGCTTAGGTTTCAGGTAGGTAAGGGACCCAACGTAAACTCTCTCACGGGAGCAATGTCATCACGTTGTCTCTAGGAGTCTCCCTGTGCTAGGGTCTCTGGGCCTGATAGCCCCTGGCTAGTGTTGCAGGAACACATGGTGGGAATGTCAACTGTTGGGTTCTCTGGCTCACCCCTTCCCCACACCGAGAGCCTCTTTGGGGGTCCAGGCTGGTCCTGGCCAAGCAGGCTGCCTCACTGCCCTTTCTTTTCTGTCTTGGGTTTTTCCTGTCGTTTTTCTGTCGAATTTCAGCGTTGACTCTTAAAGTCTGTATTCAGAGTGTGGTTATCCGTTCCCTATTTTGGTTATATGCCGGATGCCTCAATTCAACCATCTTGAAGTCCTCTGTTTTTGCTTTTGTTGCCTGTACTTTTGAGGTCTTATCCCAAAAAGATCTTGCCCAGACCAATGTGATTTATCATCTGTGTTTTCTTCTAGTAGTTTCACAGTTTTGGGTCTTGCATTTGCATCCTTAATCTATTTTTAATTGAGTTTTATATATGGTAAGAGGTCTAGTTTCATTTTCCATGTGAATATCCAGTTTTCCCAGCATCATTTATTAAATAAATGGTGAAAGATTGTTCTTTCCCCAGTGTGTGTTTTTGGCAACTTTGTTAAAAATTGGTTGACTCTCAATGCATAGATGTATTTCTGGGCTCTCTATTCTGTTTCACTGGTTTATTTGTCTGTCTTTATTGCCAGTGTCATGCTGTTTTGGTTAATATAGCTTTGTGGTATATTTTGAAGTCAGGTAGGGTAATTCCACCAACTTCGTTCTTTTTGCTCAAGATTGCTTTGGCTATTTGGGGTCTTTTGTGCTTCCGTGTGAATTTTAGGATTTTTTTCTGTTCTGTGAGGAATATCATTGTATTTTTAGTAGTGATTGCATTGAATCAGTACATCACTTTGGGTAGTATGGACATTTTAACAGCATTAATTTTCCAATCCATGAACATGGAATATCTTTCCGTTTATTTTTTTCAGTTACTTTCATTGCCATTTTATGGTTTTTATTATAGAGATTTTTCATTTCCTTAGTTAAGTTTATTTCTAACTATTTCTTTAATAGTTATTGTAAATGAGATTGTTTTATTACTGATTTCTTTTAAAGCTAGTTCACTATTAATGCAACAAAAACCCTGCTGGTTTTTGTTGATTTTGTATTCTACAACTTTACTAAGTTCCTTTATTAGTTCTACCAGGTTTTTTTGGCTGTCTTGAGGGTTTTCTGTGTATAAGATTATGTCATCTTCAAATAGGAATCATGTAACTTCTTGCTGGATTGCTCTAGCCAGGATGTCCAGTACTGTGTTGAATAGAAGTAGTGAAAGTAGGTATCCTAGTTTTGTTCCAAATTCAACTTTTCCCCATTTGGTGTGATGTAAGCTATGAGTTTGTCATGCATGGCCTTTTGCTGTATTCTTTCTATACTTAGTGTGTCGAGAACTTTTTGTCAAGGAGGGGTGTTGTGTTTTGCCAGAGGCTTTTTCCATGTCTGTTGAGCTGATCGTAGTGTTTTTGCCCTTTGTTCTGTTAATATTATATGTATTGCACTTATTAATTTGTGTGTAGTGAGCCGATCTTGCATACCTGGGATGCAGCCCACAGGAACATGGTGAGTTCTGTTGATCAAAAATTGAATTCAGTTTGCTAGTGTTTTATTGAGGATTTTTGCATCTGTTATTAGATATTCATTTTTGTGAATGTTGAGGTCCATCGTTAATTGAAAAGAGTGTCTTTTGTCTCTTGTGTTGCCTTTGCTCCTGTGTCAAAGGTCAGTTAGTTATATTTGCGTATGTCTATTTCTGGACTTTGTTCTGTTCCACTGATTGATTTTTTTCTTTCGCCAGTGCTATACTATTCTTAATTACTTTAGCTGTATAGTGTGTCTTGATGTCAGGTAGTGTCAGTCTTCCAACAATGGTCTTCTTCAATATTAAGTTGGCTGTTCTTAGTCTTTTACCTCTCTGTGTCAACTGCAGAGTCAGTTTGTTGAAATTCACAAAATAACTTGCTGAGAATTTGATTGAGATTGTATTAAATATATATATATCGAATTGAGAAGAACTGAAGAAACTCAATCTTAGCAGTATTGAGTTTTGGTATCCATCAATACGAAATATGTCTCCATTTATTTAGTTCTTTGATGTTTCATAATTTTTCTCATATAGCTTGTATATATATATTCTATTATATCTAAGTACTTCTTGTTGGGGAACTAATGTAAACAGAAGCATGTTTTTAATTATAACTTTCATTTTTTATTGCAGATGTATAGGAAAGTGAGTGACTTTTATGTATTAATCTTGGATCCTGCAAACTTGGTATTGTCACTTCTTAGTTGTTTTGTTTGTTTGTTTTTATTTTCCAGTTTTTTCATATTTTCTACATAGATGATCACATTATCCATAGGTAAAGACAATTTTATTTTTCCTTCCCAATCTGTATTTATTTTATTTCCTTTTCTCACTGAATTAGCTAGTACTTCCACTAGTATGTTGAAAAGCAGTGGTGAGTGGAGACACTTTGCTTTGTTGCTGATTTTTAGCAGGAAAACTTTGAGTTTCTTATCATTAAATATAATATTAGCTGTGGGTTTTTGTAGATGTTCTTTATCAAGCTGAGAAAATCCTTCTCTATATCTGATATGCTGAGAGTTTTTCTCCTGAATGAGACTTATGTTTGTCAAATGCTTTTTCTGCATTTATTGATATAATCATGTGATTTTCTGTAGCCTGTTGATGTGGTGGATTATATTGATTTTCAAATGTTGAACCAGTCTTGCACATCTGGAATGTATCCTACTTGGTTGTGGTATACAATTCTTTTTTATAATTGTTGGATTTTATTTGCTAACATTTTGTTGCGTTTTTGCATGTATGTTCTTGAGAGATGGTGGTCTATAGTTTTCTTCTTTTGTAATATTTTTGTCTGATTTTGGTGTTAGGGTAATGCTAGACTCAAAATTAGTCTGGAGGTATCCCTTCTGCTTCTGTCTTGTGGAAAGCTTTGTAGAGAATTGGTATAATTTCTCCTTTACATGTTAGGTAAAATTCACCCATGAACATGTCTAGTCCTGATTCTTTCAGTTTTGGATTGTTATTAATTATTGATTCAGTTTCTTTAATGGATATAGGCCTAACTTTAATAGATGTAGACCTCTACATAGGTCTTTGTTTTGGACGGTTTTTGGTGATTTGCTTGGAATGTTGAAAGCTGATGGCTTAAAATTAGATCATGCTGACTTTTGTTTTACTTATAAATTGCTTTCAGAGTATTCTATCAATTATTTTACATTTTATTGGTTTATATTTTTATGAGATATTGATAAAAATATCACTGTTTTTTTCCAGCCTAGTGTGTTAATTGTAACCTACAAGGAACCTGCAAAATCATCTACTCAATTTGGATCCTACAAGCAAGCTGAATGGAGGCCAGATAGCACTATGATAGCTGTGTCAGTAAGTATATTTTTCAATTTAATAGTGTTTTCTCACAAAATTGTTATGTTGTACTTAGAATTGATGATTTTAGATGACTTTTTTTTTTTTTTTTTTTTGAGTTGGCATCTCACTGTCACCCAGGCTGGAGTGCAGTGGTATGCTCACGGCCACCCTAGGTCGACCTGGTGGGCTCCAGCGATCCTTCTGCCTCAGTCTTACAAGTAGCCAGAACTACAGGCATGTACTACCACTCCTGGCTAATTTTTGATTTATTGCAGAGATGAGGTTTTGCCAAGTTGCCCGGGCTGGTCTCAAACCCATGGTCTCAGGCAGTCCTCTTGTGTTGGTCTCCAAAATGCTGGGATAACAGGCTGAACCACCGAGCCCGCCACTCTACTGACTCTTATATGCGGGCTACTCCTACTGCAGCTTCATTGTTGACAGTTCAACTTCCTTCCATCCATCTCTAAGTGAAGCACCTGTATCCTTTTTTGTTTGTTCTTCTCATTTTCCTGTTTTACCTTGGAAGTCTAATCCAGCTTTCTAAAGTTTTCATCTGTACTCACGAATTTATACTTTAAGTTTTGCCCTCTGTTGTGTCATACCAAATTATCAGATCCATTTGGATCTATTTCTTCCTTTCTCTTCTGTTCTAGTATATGCACTTAGGTATGTTGAGTTTTCCCTTTTAAATTCATGTTTTATCACAAGGGTTGTCTTGTTTAACTTGCATTAGCAGTCACATGATGGCTAATATTTACTGAGCACCTCCTAGGTGAGTACTGTTGTAATCAGTTTACATGGGTCATCTCATTTAATCTTTAGAACAGTATGTTGAAATGGATGCTGCCATCCTCCATAATAGATGAGTGAATGGAGGCTTTGAAAATTGGTCTTCTCCAAGGTTACAGATAGTGTATACTAGAGAGATAAGATGTAAACTTGGCTACTCAGGTTCCGCTTACTGTATTCTTAGCTATTATACTAGCTTACCTCTGCTTTCAGTCTCTTTCTAGTTCACATTATATGATACTGACTAGGTGAATCATCAGAAAATGTCCACATGACCAAAAAGACTGAGTTGTGCTGTTCTGCCCTTTGCAGGAATTCACAGACCACCAGTCCTGTCAGATCCACTCTGGTGCCTGTTTGTGCAGAGACCATGAAATGAGAAGGGTTATTACATATCTAAATGATCAAAACAAATCAAAGAAGAGTAATGTTTTGTCATACCTGAAAGTCACGTAATGTTTAAATCTCAGTGTCCATGAATAGAACTTTATTGGGTTGTGAAAGTACTCACTCATGTTTTATCTGTGGCTTCTTTCAGGCTACAACAGCAGGTTGAGTTGAGGATCTGACGGCAACCATATGTGTGTTCTCAGTGTTTGACTCTTCTCAGTGTACTATAAATTACAGTAGCACGGTTAAAATTTCATAGTATTTCAGACATTTTATATTATTTGTATTACTAGTGCATGCCTATGTCAAGAGAGCAAAAGAAGAGAAAAATAGGTGGAAAATTTTGCTTTTAAAGCACGTAGAGGATAGGTTACGTAACTTGAATTAGGTGGCAGAGTATTGTGCTTATTATGCAGCGACACTATGGCCAAAGAATGTAAGTTGACATTATCAAGCTAGGCATTCATCACAGTAGTCCCAATTCACTGAAAGAAAAGTCAGTTTAGAAATTTAAAACAGAGTAGCTCACGGCAGTTAATTTCTTTCACAAAAATAAAAAGTGCAAGTACATTTAGAGTAATTTTCCTTAGTTTTTGATGCAGTGCCAAATGTAATACCACTCAGTTGTTTATTTGAATGATTAATGTCAAGTGTGAAGTGACTGAGAATTACTTTAAATAGCCTGTGAAACAACACCAGATGAAAAAATTCTCAAAGAAATTGAGAAAAACACTAATTCAGTACAATCTGAAGTAGAGTCTACTGTGTTTTAATTGACACTGGTAAAAATTCATGTGGAGCAGAAAAAGACTTGGTTGGACAAATTTACAAAGCTTGTGAAAATATAAGGCTTTTAAATCTCAGGACTATTGTTTTGTCAGCGATGGAACCTGAGTATTCTGAATTGTCCTACCTATCCCACAGGTTTTATGGTAGTGGTAAAGGTTTATGGGAAACTTGTTTACCTCCTGGCTGAGTTCCACATTTTTTTGGACTTGAGGTACCATCGTCTACCATTTAACAGATACTGAATGACGTTGGGAAATAACATTTGCTGCAGACTATATAAAGTTTTCTAATGAATTCCTTTTAAAACCATAGGGCAGGCAGTGCTTATCTGTAAAATATATGCGGGGAAGTCATTTTGATGACAACATTGTTTGAATCACAAGTAACATAAGGCTCCTTTTTATATTTTCAGTGCTGTGAGAAGTTATGACAAGATGTAAGATCTCTATTCCCATACAAAATTGGTAGTAGGTGTATTTTCTGAACTCAAACTACAGCTCCAGTAGCATTTTTCAGGCTTTGAAGTAGGTGCAAAAGAAATTTCCTTACTATAAAATTTAGTTGTGCAAAAGAGAAGTTTCCACGTTTTCAATTGGAAGAGATTAGTCTGTAGTGTTAAAAGGTAAACGTCTTGAGGCCAGGAATTGGAGACCAGCCTGGTCAACATAGCAAGACCCTGTCTCTAAGACAAAAAAGAGGCAGGACATAACGACTTGTAATGAATGCCAGCTTCTTGGGAGGCTGAGATGGAAGGATCACTTGAGCCATCAGGCTCAAGGCTACAGTGAGCAGTGATCATGCACTGTAGTCTGGCTGACAGAGCAAGACTCTGTCTCTTTAAAAAAAAACAAAAATAAAAAGCAAACTTCAAGAGAAGAATTTAACAGAATGTTATTGCATACCAGGTGACAGTTATAGTCAGTTGAAGTCATGTGTTCATGATACCAATTTGACAATACTTGTGTGAAAAACATTTTCAAATGTGAAATATGTAACAGCTTATTAAGGACCGCATTGATAGGTGAAACTCTGCAACTAATTTTGATGATAGAGACAATTGCTTTAAATGCCAATTAGCCAAAAATATGATTCCTCTAAAAGAATTCCATTCTCTACATCAAGGGTACCTGCATAATCAGCATTTATATACCTAACCCTGAATTGTACCCCACATCTTTATAATTAAAAAAAAAAAGAATTCCATTCTCGTTCTTGGATGTATGTTCATCAAAAACGTGCAGTTATCATTACTATTGTATTTAGAATTTTATAACTGTAAAACTTATGAAAATTTGTTTCCTTTGTATTAGTCGTGCCTTTTAATTTTTCCACAATTCTGATGGTTTGACATCTTGGGGCTTTGTTAGCCCTGGAGAGCTTGTTCCCTCCCAGGGCTTGCCATTTCCTAGAAACCCTAACGGACTCACCTACAGTGCACCTTCACATGCAAACCAATCAATCCAAAGCACACACCCCAGCTACCTCCCTGACCAGCTTCTGACACTCTGGGCTGATACTCCCCTGCTGTAATTGCCCCAAGTCCAGGCCAGCTACTAGAGACAATCCCTGCACCCCAAAACCCTCTGAACTTACTTCGGCTACCCAATGCTAACCCTCCTTACCAAGCCTCACCCACCCCGTCTCATGGAACCACAGTAAAGGCTCTTCCTCCTGTTTTCCCCTCGCTCCCACTGCCTCCTGACTGACCCTGATGCACTCCCCTGTGGCCCTGGGTGTGGCCTGCCATGTGCCATCCTCTTGGAACAAACTGCTCTTTCACTGGCAATCTTCTCTTCATCTGTTGACCTGAGTATACCTGAATGATAATAAAAACTGCATTTAGAAATACTTTCTTGTTACATAAGTGCCTATATAATCTTGATTTTTTTTCCTCTTGTTTTGTGAAGGCTAAAATATTTACTGTCTGGACCTTTACAGGAGAGGTTTGCAGATCCTTATCCTACACGATAAAGTTCAGGCTTCTTAACGCTGCATTGCTGGTCCTTTAATCCCTAAAACCCTACTTCATTACTTCTCTGATGTCACCCTTCAACACAGGCTTTCCTTTATCTAAACTGTTTTTCATTATTTCTTAGAATACTTGGAGAAAAACTATAATATTTTCTGACTGTTTGTATGTAGAGGATAAATGAGCATCAACAGTCAAAGATAACTCTGATTTCAAAGTAGATGATTAGATAGGTGTTCATGGTTACTAGTGAAAAAATAAAAGAAAAAAACGGGTGTTCATGAAAGAAGATAGGATCTTCTAGATTTAGATTATTGCATTATTAATTGGTTTTAGTGGTGGTAAAATATAATAACACAAACATTGTTGTTTTAACTATTTTAAGTGTACAATTCAGTGACATTAGTTACATTCAGGGTGTTACACAACCATCACCACTATCTGTTTTCTTTATCTTTAACCCACATGGAAGCTTAGTAATCAGTAAGTGTAGCTGCATTCCCAATTTCCTCAGCTCCTTATAACCTCTAGTCAACTTTCTGTTTCTGTGAATTTGTCTATTCTAGGTATTTCTTATACGGTATTTGTGAAATATCACTTAGCATAATGTTTTCGAGGTTCACCCATATTGTGGTGGTATATCTATATTGTAGTATGTATCAGAACTTCATTTCTTTTTATGGCCAAAAAATATTGTATCATGTGTATGCCACATTTTATTTATCTGTTGATGGACATTTGGGTTGTTTCCGATTTTTACCTGTTGTGAATAATACTTCATCGAACATTGGCATACCAGCATCTGTTTGTTGGAGCCCCTGCTTTCAATTCTTTTGGGGTGTATACCCAGATGTGGAGTTGCTGGCTCAAACTCCATAGAGGCTGCATCATTTTACATTTCCTTCAGCAATGTAGAAGTGTTCCAATTCTCACTCTTCCTCATAAACATTTAGTTTTTTGCTTTGTTTTCTTTTTTAATAATAACCAGCCTAAAGGGATGAAGTGTGGTATCTTATTGTAGTTTGATTTGTATTTTCCTAATGGCTAATGATGTTGATCATCTTTTCATTTTATTGCC